TCATTGTTGTTTGGCGGACCCGGGCGGGGGATTCGAACCCGCCACCTTAGGTGTATGTGGCTGGCGCCTTAGCCGCTTGAGCCACAGGCACCGAGCCTGCTTTCTGTTTTGACTTGACATTGCCTTACAAGGAAATTACAGGTGTTAATCAATTTATAGTTTAATCTAATCAGTTACAACATTATCTTTGTGATATGAGCTATGCTGTACTTGTGGAAGCCTGCCTGCTTAATCTGAGCTGCTCTTTCCTAAGCCATTTCCTTAATATGCCATGTTCGGCAGGTAGATCAGAATCCTGCAACTGTCTGGTTGAAAACTTCTTTTGTTACTCCGTATTGGTATGAAAATAATATTGCTATTTCTCTGTTAGGAAACAAAAACCAAGTTCTTCTAATAGTTTTTTGAAAGAAAAAAAGATGTTTTAAGCCTAAAGTAATTTGCTTCTATTGATAGACAATGTGGAGCTTATACTGAAAACAGTCAGTAACCAACACAGTGTTGAGAGTCAAGACAACGACCAGCCAGACTATGACAGCGTGGCCTCGGATGAAGACACAGATTTAGAAACCACCACAAGCAAAGCAAACCGGCAGAAGGTGAGAGGACACATTTCACACCGGAGGGCAAACTGTGCTTCTTTTAAAAATCTTTCTCCTGGGTAGCGCCTGTGGCTCAAGGAGTAGGGTGCCGGCCCCATATACCAGAGGTGGTGGGTTCAAACCCAGCCTTGGCCAAAAACTGGAAAAAAAAAAAAGAATGGGTGGCACCTATGGCTCAGTGAGTAGGGCACCAGCGCCATATACCTAGGGTGGCAGGTTCAAACCCGGCCCTGGCTGAACTGCAACAAAAAATAGCTGGGTGTTGTGGCAGGCGCCTATAGTCCCAGTTACTCGGGAGGCTAAGGCAAGAGAATTGCCTAAGCCTAGGAGTTGGAAGTTGCTGTGAGCTGTGTGACACCATGGCACTCTCCTGTGAGGACAATAAAGTAAGACTCTGTCTCTACCAAAAAAAAAAAAAAAAAACTTTCTCCTAAAAAATTGCCTTATCTGTCAGTCACTCAAGGGTTAGCTGTACAAAAGGTGCTGTGGTCGGATTCACTACTAGCTTGGACCAGACACAGGTGAAACAAGGTTAATGGATTTGAAATAGGGATCCTTTGTCCCTGAATCACAGTCCTACCACAGTCATGACTTTATAAAACTTGTGAGAAGTGACTGGTGAGCTTTATTCATTAAACAAATGTTCACTGGGTGACTTCTCTGGATAATGCTCTGCTGAATGAGGCCTAGTCCCTTTCCCATGAGGAGTCACTGCCTAGGAGAGAGATAACTACAAGAGAAGGCACAAAGTGATATATATGTGTCATACGGAGCCCGGCCAGAAGCTGAGGGAGTAAGAATAGAGAGGGCTTGTTGCTGAGGAGCATCAGCAGAGGCTATGTCAATGGGATGGCTCCTAGGGTGTGCCTTAGGATACATGGGAATGGCCTATGGAGGAAGCAGGGAAGGGCAGTGTAGGTAGACAGTGAGACCAGCGCCTAAATGGAGTGAGACTCAGCACTTCAGTAGGGGAATGTGATACCAGACTGAAGAGCCTAGGCCTCACCAGCTGTGCAGAGCCCAGGAGGATCTAGGCCAGGCAGAAGGGCAAAGGCCAGAGCCATGTGGGGGAGGACTGTTCTGGTAGGTCAGACAGTGGGAACCCAGTGAAGGTACTCCTGAAGAAGTCCAAACAGGAGCAGACACAGGCCACTGCAGGGCCTGGACTAGGAAGGCCCAGGTGGGAAGGAGAACTTGGCACCAGAGTATGAGCCAGGGGAGAGAGCAGCAGGCCCTGGGCTGGGACTAGCCTACATTGGTGCTCAGCACATACATGAGAGTGAATGAATGAGAAGGTAGATGAGAAAAGTCTTGGCAGTAAGTTGGAGGGTTAAAGTGGGAAGATAGATTTCTAGAATATGTGTCTAAAGTTTTCCAGCTCACATGATTGTGAAAGTGGTGGTGCCATTGGCAGATGCAGGGGATACCCCTGCCCTAATACCCTGGAAGCTGGCCTATTCCCTGAGTGAAAGCCAAGGTCATTCCAGGATCTTTCACCACTGTCTTGCCTCCTGGGCCTCTGGCCACCCTGCACACCTGCTCTCTCTAGATGAGCTCTGCTGCTGCTGGGATGGTCTTCCTTCACACCTGTCTGACCGATCCCCTCACCTCTCACCTACTCATGCTCACCCCAGCTCCTAATCAACATGCAGCCTACCTTTACCCCTGCTTCATCCCCTCACCCCAGTACCCTGCTCCGGCTTACCTTTTTCCACAGCACTAATCATCTTCAATCATACTGTGTATTTACTTATTTTTATTTTTTCCTTCTATTGCTGCTGGGATGTAAACACCATGGAAGCAGGAATCTTTGTCTCTTTTTCGGATCCATCCCAAACATCTAGAATACTGCCTAATGTTCAAGAAAAATGTTGGGATGAATGAATTAATGAAAGAATGAAGGAAAAGAAAAACGAATGAACAAGAGAAAGGCTTACAAGATAGGACAAACCTCCTTAGACAGTCATCAGTCACTGTCAGTGCAGATTTATACCCCCTCCCCAACTGTCCGTTCCATTAGAAAACATTGACTCTTAAATTATTAAAATATTGCTTAGTGACCCTAGTTTTATGTTGAGTTTTACATTAATCTCAGAGGCCTTGATTTGGTTTAACTTTGCGATTCAGCTGGCATGGTCAGAATTTAAAATTCTTTAGCTGTTAGTCTTTAATGTTATCATCATCTCAGATTGTGAACATTTTCCCCAATTTATTTTTAGAGCCTAGATTCAGATTTATCAGATGGACCAGTCACTGTGCAGGAATTTTTGGAGGTCAAAAACGCCCTAGTGGCTTCTGAGGCCAAGATACAACAGCTAATGAAGGTGAATAACAACTTGAGTGACGAGCTGAGAATTATGCAGAAAAAGGTAACATGTTAATAAATGCAGGACGGTTGACTCTTTAATCCCATAGTATGAGGGAGAACCCCAGGCATGTGCTGGTGGCCAGAGGGAAGAAAAACAGTTGTTTTAACAGACCTAGAAATTTTTGGGCCAAGTTGTCTTTTTGGAAGCAGTATGTATTTGGATATTTGAAATAAAATAGCTGTGATTAGAAATATATCCAGAGTTAAATTCCCAAAGTAGGAAAAATCTGACAACCTATTTGTTAAGTTTATATCAACTGTTTATATCAGTTGTAGTAATCATTGCACTGTTCTGTGCTTCCTGGGAACCTGGATGTGATTCTTCCCATTGCTACTTCTGAAGGATAATCACATTGTGGAGACAGAGCAATCCAAAGCCCTGGACAGGTGTGTGTGTTTTATTAGCTTTCAAACCCCACCCCACACCATGCAGGGGGTAATTCCCCTATTCACTCTGACTCTGCATTATTACCCACCTCTGCCCAGGCAGCCCTATCCCACAGTCCTGTCTTATTTTTCACGGCTTCTTGCTACTTATCTGTGGCATCCTCAGAGCCTAGAGCAGGGCCTGGCTCAGAGAGTAGGTTCTCAGTAAATAAGAGAAAACAGTTAGTTTATACTAGGAGGGAACTGCACATCAGTAAAGAACAATCCCATTTGTTCAGCGTTTTCTTATTCGTTACCTTTAGAGAGAATCAGAACAGTATCAATATATTAATCCCTGAAAGGAATATAACTAATAGTAGCAAGGTATAAACCACGAAAGGAGAGTATGTATGTAACTCTTTGTAAGAAGGCTAAGAAAAGGAAGTTGAAAAATTCCAGATTTTGCCCTTGACTTTGTGGGTATTGCTCCCATCATTCAGTTCTCTTCAAAAATGAGATTTTGTACACTTAAACAGAAAATATATAAATTGTGTCCCTGTGCTTTTATCTAAGGAGTAGTGTTTCCAGATCATTTTCAAGACCTGAGGACATGGTGCCTTTCATTTGTGGCTAGATCCTTTTCCATGCTGCTTTCTAAAGAAAGGCCAAAGAACTAAAAAGGGGCCCATGCTCCTCTACTCTCCAGGAAGTAAATTGCTGTGCACCTTCTGTGGAGCTTGCTGTAGAATTCTTTTGGTGTTAAGTGCTAGATCTTTTTTGAAATCTTTTTTAAAAATGTCTCTATCGGCTGGGCGCCTGTGACTCAAGCGGCTAAGGCGCCAGCCACATACACCTAAGGTGGCAGGTTCAAATCCCCAGCCCGGGCCTGCCAAACAACAATGATGGCTGCAACCAAAAAAGGCCAGGCGTTGTGGCGGGTGCCTGTGGTCCCAGCTACTTGGGAGGCGGAGGCAGGAGACTCGCTTGAGCCCAGGAGTTGGAGGTTGCTGTGAGCGTGATGCCATGGCACTCTACCCAGGGGGATAGCTTGAGGCTCCGTCTCAAAAAAAAAAAAAAATGTCTCTATCTTGGCTTGGTGCCTATAGCTCAAGCAGCTAAGGTGCCAGCCACATACACCAGAGCTGGCGGGTTCAAATCCAGCCCAGGCCTGCCAAACAACAATGACAACAACTACAACCAAAAACTAGCCAGGCGTTGTGATGGGCGCCTGTGGTCCCAGCTACTTGGGAGGCTGAGGCAAGAGAATCGCTTAAGCCCAGGAGTTAGAGGTTGCTGTGAGCTGTGATGTCACAGCACTCAAAGTTTGAGGCTTTGTCTCAAAAAAAAAACCTGTAGTAGAAAGAGACAAGAATTAGTCAAGCTTTAAAAACTTGAAGATTAGTCAGCTTTAAACAAACAGACACTTGCTCTGTGCCTCCTAACCCACCTCGAGCCCCTTGATATAACAAATAGGATTTGTGCTTCCTCTGCCTTTTCTGAAATGTATTTTATTTAATGGATTATAATTTGTCCTATTAATTGGACTAATGACTTTGTTGAAGTGACTTTTTCTGAAACATGCTGATTTTGACATTGTATACCAATCTGCTGCACATCACATTTTTTTATCCTATGATGCTCCTTTCGATATTTGTAGAACTCACCAGAGAAAGCAAATGTCTTGAGCTTCTTTAAGAAATGCAGAGTGGGGCCAGTTGTGGTGGCTTACGCCTGTAATTCCAGCACTTAAATTGCCTGAGCTCACAAGTTTGAGGCCAGCCTGAGCCAGAGCGAGACCCCATCTCTAAAAAATAGGCAGGCATTGTGGCAGGCACCTGTAGTCCCAGCTACTTGGGAGGCTGAAGCAAGAGGATCACTTGAACCCAAGAGTTTGAGGTTGTTGTAAGCTAAGACACCATGTCACTCTACCAGGGGTGACCAAGTGAGACTCAGTCTCCCAAAAAAACAAACAAACAAGAAATGCAGAGTGAAATTGCCGTTGCTAATTGATTATCCCTTCAATTTTTAGAAATGCTTTTGATTTCAGAAACTGTTGAATTATCTGTAGCTTTATATTTCCTGTTAAACTCCTTCCAAACAAAAACTATGTGGCCTGGTTCTTATTAAGATAAACATCATTAAAATTTATCCAAGGACATCTCTCTAAATACAAAGTATTAAAATTAAAAAAAAATATAAAGACAGGAACTTGTGCTCATGAAAATATATTCAGATGAAATCCAGGATGGATGTTTTAGAGGCATGAGAAGTGTTAGGATAGTTTCAGATTTCAAGACCTTAAAGCCTATAACAGAGGCTTTTTCCATGGACAGTCACGTGACCAGATGCACCAGTCCCCCACTGAGGGACATATATCAGTACAGCTCCTCATTCTTTGGACTTTGACCATTTCAGTCTAAGCTGGGGGTTCCCTACAAAATAGTTTTGACAGGCCCCTCATGCCTGTCTGACTCCTAGAATGTAGGAATTTTCAGTGACTGCTTTGTGCTTTGCAGCTGTTCTTTCTCAGGAAAGAGAATTGCAGATATGAGTTATGCCCTGACAGCCTTTGTGGTGTAAGAGCAATCTATCATTCCATAATGGCTCTCCCTGCACAGAAACTGAGAATGAGTGGTCTTTCTGAGGAAGAGGCTGCAAATCACACTTTCACACAAGTTTTGGCGCTATTCATATAAAGTATGCACAATTTGTCTTCTTAGTAAAGATGTATTGATTTTATTTCAAAGTTAGGTAAAGTTGTTTTTCTATTTAGAAAATTGACCAAGTAGCATGATTTGTATCTGATCTTTCGCATTTAACAGTTACTTGGAAAAGATGCTAATTAATGAAGAGGACCAACTACTATTGGTGTATTTTTCACAGATCGGTGCTTTCTAAATAAAAATTGAAAGTAACTCCCAACATTGAATGGGTTTGCTATTGAGAAAGTAATGATCTTCTGGTGCAGTTGCTTGTGGATTTAAACCTTGGCACTGGTGGGGAATTCCGTCAGATTTTACAATCTCTGTCAAAGAGTAGACAGCTGAACGCACACCACACCCAGCTTGTAAAATGTCATGGAAGATGAAGGAGCACCAGAAGGGAAGGACGCTGTGCAGAGTGGACACAGCTAATTGTGTTTAAAATGCCAGATGCTAAAGAGTAACACAATTCCTTGCTGATCCCTTAACTCTTAATTCATCAAACACCATGAAGCTGCCTGCATGTGAGGAATGGAAAGAGCATTCAGGGCCTCCGAGTGACAGTCTATAACTAAAATGGGTGGTGCCAGACAGAGTAGATGTTCAAAGCTGATACCACCACGGTCGTGTTTTTTGGGTGACAGAGCCAAAGGAGAGAAAGGCCAAATATTCCAGCCCTGGCTGAAAGATGATCCATCACCGAAGGGAAGCAGACATGCCACGCGGAGCGTTCTTGTGAAGATGTTAATAGAGTTTCATAAGTTTCCAGGGCTCTTCGTGATATGTTAATATAGCAGACTTCCATGATTTGGTTCCCTCTATTTTTTTAAGTGCTGAATTGTTTGGAATATCAAGAGTATTATGTAATAAAAAACTTGTTGATCATAATTTTTCTTGTTGGCTTTTTGGAAAGCGATAGCTGACCTGGTTTTTCATAAGCTAAACTTCACTGTCTTTCTTGCTTTGCAAAGCAACTCTAGTCATCTTTGTGCTGCTTCCATGGTGTCTGCTGTCATTTTTGGCATTTGCAAATTGCTCAGGGCTCATTTGAAAAGCAGGTTACCTAAGTGGTGTTTTAATGATCTCAAGCTCTTGCTTGAGCCTTAGAATAATTCAGAGTACAACTTGCCTCCAAACGATTCCCAGCCCCACCATGACAAATTTTTTAAGTGATTAGACATTTTGTTTTTTAAAAGTCCAAACTACAACTTTCCACGTTCAGAAATTAAACTATTTGTGTGTGTGATGAGGTGAGTTGATTGTGATTCACTCATTCCAGAAGGAAGAGTTCTTGTTTGTAGTTGCTTTTCACTTTCGACCTAGCTAGCTGTTATTGTCCTTGTGTTTAAATCTGGTAGTTGTATTCATTTACTTGGTGTTTGCTTTTTCTGCTTGCTATAAGGAAACACAGTCCCACTGCCAAACATGTCTTTCAGCTTCAAACACTCCAGAGTGAAAATTCGAACCTCAGGAAACAGGCCACAACCAATATATATCAGGTGCAAACTGGTTCTGAGTACACAGACACTTCCAACCACTCTTCCTTAAAGCGACGTCCGTCTGCCCGAGGCAGTAGGCCCATGTCCATGTACGAGACGGGATCAGGTCAGAAAGCATATCTCCCAATGGGAGAAGCCAGCCGCCCTGAAGAGAGCAGGACAAGGCTCCAGCCCTTCCCCGCACACGTAAGTAACGCACCTCTGGCACTGTCGCTGTTCAATTCTCTGTGCAGCCTGACTCCTCTGTCCCATCCTCTGAACCTGCAGATTCCCACACCTCTGCCTTGCCAAATTGGGCTAAGAGAGTTGCCATCGTGTTTGCTGTATTAACATGTCCACAGATGCTTGCGATATTCCCACAAGCACACAGGGCCATCCACTGAAAAGTTTTTTTAGCGAAATTGGGGATTCTGGCTCTTATTGATTCCCACTCCCCTTTTTCTCCCCCCTAGTCATTATGTATTTCCCACCCAGCCAGTATTGGCAGTTTTTCTGGGAAAGCTTTCTTCCATCCTCCCTCACTCCTAAAAACAATAACAAATTATCAAGGTCACTAGTAGAAGGAAGTGTCATCTTCTTCAAGGTAGACAGGGATGTGCCCCTTTATGAACTGGAGCCCTTAGAATCCAAGGTGACTTTCAGCTGGTCCTACTTGAGCAGGTGGCCTTGCTCCTTGAGTCAGCAAACAGGCAGGTCTGAAAGGCTCCAGGCCTCTGCAGCCTGTCCACGTGCGCTCAGTGTGTCTGCTGGGGCAGCTTCTGCATCCTCCTCTTCCCCTTTGTGGAGGAAGCACGTCTTGTCATTTCATAAAAAGGAAATGTCACGTTCTACATCAGTCTGACAAACGATGAATTCCAAAGATTATATTCTGCAGCAGGGGTCTAACTGTTACTCTGCAATGGGATAAATATTGTGTTGTGATGTTCTCAAATATTATGTTTTTTTCTGGATTAATGTATGATAAAAATCATGTTTTGACAAAATGTTAGATATTTTAAACTTTATGGGATATTTTTTCAGAGAATATTAGTATCTGTTGAAATGTATAAAGTTATTTAGTCAAATTTTATGGGAGTTTCAAAAAATTTTTGACAAGGTAAATGCGAAGTAAAGGATATGATCTAATATATTAAATCCTACTTTAATTTTGTCAAAGTTTAATATAGTAAAATCACAGTGTTATATTTTAATTGGAAGTCCATTGTCTCAACTTGTTTTTTAAGTTGTTGGGGTTTAACATTCTAAGGCAATTGACTTGATATGTTTGTTGTAATAAGATAGCCATTGAGTTAAATTAAGAATCTTCCTTTTATATAGCTGAAAACAGTCTAGGACAAGAAACCTTTGTTTTTATACAGTGTACTTTTTTATTTTAGAAAAATTTAGAATATAAGGATCATTTGTATAGTTTCTCTTTTCATAATTGTCAATCCTAATTTTAAAAAAAAATGTTCACGTTAGGCTGCCCATTTAGAAAACTATTGGTCAATTTGGCAAATTATGCTGGGTGTTATCTTTTCCCTTATGGAAAAAAAGTAGGCCTGTTAAATTCAACATGTATTTCTGATAGATGTTTCACTAAGGATTTAAACATTTCTGGGGGCCTGTCCCCAGCTGTCACTGAGATTTCAACACTCCCCTCACATATAGTAAGTTATTTTCTAGGATTCTTTTACCAAAACCAGTGAGATGATAGGGGTTTTGGTTTGTTTTGTATTTTCCCCGAGTATGTTTCTCTTTCCCCTTCCAGATCGGGAGGAGTGCGCTTGTGACCTCCTCTTCATCTCTGCCTTCCTTCCCCTCCACACTTTCCTGGTCGAGGGATGAAAGCACCCGAAGGGTTAAGTACACTCTGAATGGTCTGCTCTCTGGAGGAGGGGCAGTGCTGTGGGGCTTTGTGCTTGGGCCCTCCTGTCCCTTGCTAACCAACCTCCTTCCATTCTGCATGAGGAAGTACTGCTCTCCTGGTTTCTCACAGCACTGTGTGGGGTGCACGCACACCGGTAAAGAGGCGGCCTCTCTTTTGTCTAACCCCACATTGCTCATTTTCACATCATATTTAACAAAGTTTGCAAATCACCCCTATAAGTATTCATTCTGAGTGTACTGTCTTTTTAAACTATCAGAAAATAAGCTGGCTGCTGGTTAAATATTCTGACAGGGTAGTTAAATTTAGTTCAGAGCTACAGTTATCATAAAAAATGGTTCTAAATATGAACTAGCTGAAGCACTAAAATCTCATGCCTTTTTTGTTTAGTTTAGTTTTCTTTTTTGCTTTGTTTGTTTGGTTTTTGAGACAGGGTCTCTGCTGCCCAGGCTAGATTATAATGGCACAATTGTAGCTCACTATAACCTCAAATTCCTGGACTTAAGTGATCTCCTACATCAGCCTCCTGAGTAGCTACTACAGGCTGACACCACTATGCCTGGCTAGTTTTTAGAAAAATTTTTTTAAAGATGGTATCTCATTGTGTTGCCCAGGTGCCTGACCTCACCTAATCCTCCTGCTTCAGCCTCCCAAATAGCTAAGATTATAGGTGTGAGCCACCATGCCCCACCTTTATTTAACCTGTGACACATTTTATATCAGCACCATGCTTGACAAACCAAGGTTTTACAGTCCCTGCATCCTGAGTCAGAATTGTTTGTTTTGTTTTGTTTTTTTGAGACAGAGCCTCAAGCTGTCCCCCTGGGTAGAGTGCCGTGGCATTACAGCTCACAGCAACCTCCAACTCCTGGGCTCAAGCGAGTCTCTTGCCTCCGCCTCCCAAGTAGCTGGGACCACAGGCACCCGCCACAACGCCCGGCTATTTTTTGTTTGCAGCCATCGTTGTTTGGCGGGTCCGGGCTGGGGATACGAACCCGCCACCTTAGGTGTACGTGGCTGGCGCCTTAGCCGGTTGAGCTATAGGCGCCGAGCCCTGAGTCAGAATTGTTAATAATACCTAGTGGCATTGGAGGCATGCAAGGCAGCTGTTAACAGAAAGCTATTCACTTGTATCAGCTGGTCAGACCCAGCCTATGGTGTGTAGTTTACATTCTCAATAGCAGTGCATGAACACAGGTAAATTCCTTTCAGAGTAGCCGGATAGGAAGTATTTATTAAATACTTCCTCCACACCCAGCCTTTCACCCAGTCAGTGAAAAGGTCCTAAGGACCTAGGCGGTACAGTCCCTGCTCCCAAAGGCATCATCAATAACAAAAGTACTTTCATGCATGAAGAGTACATGATTGCAACAAGAGAAAGCCACAGAAAGACGGGCATTCTAAGGCTGGCTCAGTTAATTTTTTTTTTTTTTTAATGGAAGCATAGTATAAGGAAAGTGTCTGTGGGTAAGAGATCACCTTTACAGATGGGTAGAATTTACACTGTGCCTTTGCCCATTCCATCTATACCTAGAAGTCTAGGAATGATGAATAATCCTTCTTCCCCACTGCCAGAGTCCTATGGCTCACCAAGGTCCTTTTAGTATTTTTTTTTTTTTTAAAGAGACAGGGGTCTTAGATTCTCACTACAGCAGTGGCTGGTCATAGGTACAATCATAACTCACTGCAGCCTTGAACTCCTGGCCTTAAGCAGTCCATCTACCTTAGCCTCGAGTAGCTGGGACTATAGGTGTGTACCATTATGCCTGGCCTTTTGGAGATTCTTCACTAAACTTTTGAAGTAATCTATTTAAAAGAATTCTTGGCTCAGCACCTGTAGCTCAGTGGTTGGGGCGCCAACTGCATACACCAGGGCTGGCGGGTTCAAACCCGGCCTGTGCCTGCTCAACAACAATAACAACTACGACAACAAAAAAATAATAGCCAGGTGTTGTGGCAAGCACCTGTAGTCCCAGCTATTTGGGAGCCTGACGCAAGAGAATCACTTAAGCCCAGGAATTTGAGGTGGCTGTGAGCTGTGATGCTACGGCCCTCTACTAAGGGCAACATAGTGAGACTCTGTCTCAAAAATAAATAATAATAATAATTCTTGATAAGCAGTTCTAAAATTGAACTGTAATGTTTTTATTACAATATTCTAGGCTCGGCGCCTGTGGCTCAAGTGGCTAAGGCGCCAGCCATGTACACCCAAGGTGGCAGGTTTGAATCCAAC